CAGGAGGTGGGAGGGCAGGGGGCAAAGGGCAGGGAGGGCAGGGGCAGCAGGGGTGGTGAGGCAGGTACTTGCTCCAGACGGAGAGTAGCATGAACAAAACCACAGAGATCAGAGCATGGAATCAGGGTGCCAGGGTTGTGGGAGGGGCTGGGTCGGGTGCTGGCGAGGCTGCTCCAAGGTCAGCTGTGGTGCACGTGTCATTCTGCTCTGCCAGTGAGCTCTGAAACCCACCCAAGACACGAGAATTTACCAGGAGCCCCAACAAAGAGGTGCACATTTTTGTAACAGGGAAAAATAGAGAGAGGGGAGCTGATATAAGGCAGACAGGGTCCTGGAAGGATAGTGTCTCCCACCTAGGCCACATGGGACAGAGTATTATCAAGCAATGGATAAAGCACCTGGTTCAGGTCAGTGATTTATTTCCAATAAACCAAACCCAACTGAAAGAACTCAGTCATAGGTAGGAAGAGTCAGACTTCCTAGAGCTCAAGCCTTCAACTTCCAAGGATAGGGAGAGAGGTAACAGAAGGTTAGGACTCCTCAGGGGCCAGACACAGAAGTGCTTCTCAGGTACAGGCCCACGCCTGGGGTCTCGAAGGGCCTGAGGATGATGCCAGCTCAATTCTCTCTCAAAGCAAAGTCTCAGTAGTCAGCTCTGGTACCCAATCCGATTAGCCTAAGGGTGACGGATTCCTAAGGCGAGAGCTAGAGAGATTTCTAGGAAACTTCCAGGAATGGAGGCCTGATCCCCTTTACCTACCAATATAGACCAAAGCCAACAAACAGGAAAACTGTGGGATATTTATTGAAGCATTACATCACCACTCAGCATTTATCTTTTATTATTAACTCCATGTGGCCTTGAAATGATTAACAGTGCAATCCTTAAATAAAAAGATATTGCGTATTTGCTTTAGACAGTCAGCAAGAACGGGGAGATGATAAGCACTTTTCTGAGGCCTGTTTCCAGAATTGTGTACAATCTACTTTTGCATCAGAATCTCCAAGCTGTCCAAAAAAAGGCATCAGAATCTGAGTGATGGGGTCTGAAATGGGACTTTTTACTAAGGGCCTCAGGCTATTAGGCAAGTCAAAATTCTGATACTCCCTTAACTTCGTGGGCAAGGGATTGAATCGGGTAGAAAGGAGGCAACAGAGAATTGGAAGAAGAGAGAATCTCATGATGGTTAATTTTACGTATCAACTTGTCTGGGCCACAGTGACCAGACGTTTGGTCAAATATTATCCTGGATGTTTTTGTGAGGGTGTTTTTGGAAGAGATTTTCATCTAAATCAGTAGATTGTGAGTGGGTGGGCCTTGTCCAATCGGTTGAAGACCTGAAGAGAACAAAAAAGGCTGACCCTCCCCCAAGAGAGAGGAATTCTGCCCGCAGACAGCTTTGGACTAGAACTGTAACTCTTTTCTAAGTGTCTAGTCTACAGGCCTCCCCCAGCAGATTTTGGACTCACCAAGACCCCACAATTACATGAGCCAGTTCCTTAAAACAAACTGAGAGAGAGAGAGAGATGTGTGTGTATGTATGTGTGTGTATGTGTGTGTGTACACACCCATCCCATCCCATTGGTTCCGTTTTCTCTGGCAAACTCCACTAATACAAATCTCTTGACCTTGAGGGACAAAGTCCACAGAATCTACTTTGGATCTACAGAATGCTTATGGCCCAAGCCAACAATGAGCCCCATGTGGACTCCCTGACATTTACCTGTAAGATAATTAAGGAATTAATCACCAAATAGGCAGCAGCTAGTAGCCTAACAACCTTGGTGACAAAGGTCAAAGAGAAATAGTGGGCAACAGTTTAGGGGTTTTTTTATAAGGAGAAGGAAAGATCAGAATCAACTCTTGTGACAAAGGCGGTTTTCAAAAATAGACAGCTCCTTCCAGTGTTAACATCAACATTTACAAAGACGCTCTCGGAATGGTGCGATCTCGAGAACAGCAAGCTTGAGCTTCATCACGAACCACCCATCACTTGGAATTGTGAAATATGCCCAGCCAAAGCACATCTGACAGAAAAGAAATGAGTTCCATTACCAAATAAGAGTGGTGTGGAAATAACAGAATTGCTTTTGTTTTGATGGATGATCTAATAAAAAGATATAAAAATGATTAGAAACAATAAAATTAAATCACAAAATATAGTTCTATTTGTTTTGTGCCATGGAATGGATTCTTACATTGGGTAGAAGGGTGGAATATATAACTTCTAACTTTAGGAAACAGTAAAAAGAAAGAAACATGAAGACAACAGTCTTTTATTCCTAGCAAACTATTCCTAATATGCTGAAACAGCCACAGCGACAATCCCAGAGAGTCACGGGAACCTCAAGTAGACACAAAAAAGATCAACCATCCTTCCAGTCCCCTGCTCCTCCCATGGGAAGGTCAAGTCCCCCCAGACATTTCTCTCCAAGATAACAGTGAGACCAAGGTGAGGGGTCTTGGACTGGAGACGGTCATTCCTGCCTCATCATTTGCTTAGAGGCACCAAGAGGTCATTAAGCAACATTACTGGCCACCACTCCCTTCAACGCATTGAAAGTAAAAGCAGAATCAACAACAGCAAAGGCTCTACATGGTACAAACGATGGTCTCAGTAGCGAGCTGAGAGGTAGGAAGGAGGAGGTGTCACCTCACAGGCACTAGAAGCTCTTCGGAGAAATTGGTACCTCTGATAAAGATGAGCTTCCTCTGAAATGATCTGCTAAAATTAGTATGGATTCTCCGCCAAGGCTTCTGAGTTGTTTTTTCACATTGACAAGGTTTGCCAAGTTACCGGCAAGGGCTAAATCCCTCTATTGCCTTTGCAGTGAGTCCAACCTAAGTCTCCAGGCAGAGCCTCCCGGCCACAGCTCTCCCGCAGAGGAGCCTCAAGTCCTGGTCTCATGACCACAACACGCATGAAGCCAACATGGCAACCATCTTACAAGTTCAAGGTTTCCCCAGAAGGGTCATCCGTAATAACAGAAGGCTCAGAATGAATCTCCGTCAGACAAGCATTCGGAGCACAGCCCTCTGTTGCTCATTTAAGACACTTCCCTTTTGCCAATATTATCTTTTTCAGAGCTAATCAGACCTTAAAATTGTTTACTGGGAATGGTGGGAATGCACTGGGGAGGGTCTGCGCCTCCTCGCTGTGGGCTCACCCAGAAGGCCCGTGCTTTTCTGGTCTCTCACCCTTCATCTGTTCTGGAACCTTCTTATCAGATAAGTTCTCTGTGGTGTCCTCATCCTTTCTCCAGTTATTCTACCCCTCCCAAGCCTTGGCTGTCACAGGAGAACACTCAGTATCCTTTACATTTTTTTTTCTGTAAAATGCATTGATAAATGAGGGTTCCCTCAGGAAGGAGAGCAGACTGGTCCAAATTGGCGCAGACAGAAAACCACAGGATCTAACGGGTGGGCTCAGCTTTGTGAAAGGAACCTCCCCAGGCTCCACCTCCGGGCGTCACTCCAGTCACTCTCCTCGCCCCCAAAAGCAGGGATACAGTTTTGGCTTTCGTTCACATTCATGCCGAAACCATTATTTCCACTACTCTCCTGGGTTCCTGACCACAATCTGCTCCCTCCAGGGAATATCTTACAGGAAAATGGTGCATTTAATCAACCGCAATATTACACCTAAGACAGAAAGTCACATGTTTTCCAAGATGACAAGGGCAGCATTTGAACGTGGCTTCCAACATTCCTTTTGCCAGCCCCATTCCTTTCCCTGATCAAAGTTCACACCACTAGCACCGAATGTGCTAACATTCCCCCAAAGAGGTGTCGCTCAAGAAAATTTAGCTGTGCTACCCTTAAAATCGGTCTAAAACAAATCACACTCTTTTCGAGCTTAGGGGACCCACTTTACTTAACATTAATTCCAACAAAAACATGTGTGTAACTGGAGAGAAGACAATTAAGGAAAGAGTGTTGGAGACAGAAGCAGTAAGTGGTGAGAGGAATGGATGTCCCCTGACAGCAGGCCCCCTTGTAAGGTGTGGGGTCTCCCTCCTCAGGGATCTTCGGGCGGAGCCTGGGGTCCATCTGTAAAAATGTTTCAAGGGAGCCCTATACGGATGCAGATGGCCTCAGTGACTGCTATGATCCTCTGTTCACCTGACTCCTAGACTGCTGTCATTACTCAGAAAACAGCAGGCCAAGGAGGAAGCTATGCTCAGGCCTTTGCCGCATGCCCATGCCACCACAGCTGCTAAGGGACAAGGGGAACAGGGCTCAAGTCTTCCATAGTGTTTACGATGCTGGCTCCACAGGGAGCAAAGTCTTCGCTGACTTCCGTGACCCTGTTATTGTGGCCAGAGAAATGCAAAGCCTAAGGTGGGAATGACCACATTGCAGGCAACAGTCCCCAGAATGGGTAAGTAAGTAACTATGCTTACCTTTCTTCCTTCCATTTCTTTTGATCTTATTATCAAATTTAACTATTTCTTCTTACAGAATCTCTACTTCAGACCAAAGCAAGAAAATCTATCACTGTACAAATTTATTACAATTACTTTAAAATTTATATGGAGATTTATATATATCAACATGTCACATACTAACATCTCATTGAAGCCAGAAATTTGAGCGCTTTTTCAGCAAATGCACTTGTTCTCTCTCCTTTCATCCTTGCTGTATGTACATCGGACACTTTTCCTGTCCCAGTGGTTTTAATGCCGTCATAATCAGATGGGTCCCAAAGTGAAACCTTGAGCCCTGATGTTTCTAACTACCCACGTTCTAAGTCCAACCACCACTAAAATCTTAAAATTACTCCCTTAATTCTCTGGGCAAGGGATTTAATTGGGTAGAAAGAGGCAACAAAGAATTAGAAGAACAGATAGAATCTCATGATAGTTAATTCTAGTGTATCAACTTAGTTTGACACATATATTGATATATATAGCCAAGATGAAAGGGCAGAGAACGCACACTTGCTTATGCATTTATCTGTGTAAGTGTAGAAGTTTACAAGCTACCAGCATCGCCTTACCTCTGATGGCTTCGAGGTGCATTTTCCTTTTCCTGAACACTCCAAGTCACTTGCGTGGCTCTCCCCCAGCACACAGGTGCTGGCCTTCACCACCAGAGTTAAGCGCAAAGCCACAATAGATTTAGTAACAGAATCATTCACAAAACCTGAAAGAAAATGGGACAATAGGAAATGTAAAGTGAAGCTTTCCCAACAGTCTTTCTACAAGACCACGAATTTAGTTCAGGCAGCATTCAAGTCTGACAAACAAAACAAAATGCACTACGGCAAAGGAATAAAGCACATGGCTACTGTCCATTCAGACCTCTGGGCTTCCAAACCTCGAGGGGAACCCCTAAGACCAAGGAAAAGCAGCACCAGGCACCTGAGTCATCACCTCAGGTCCTCTGGCTTTGCTCCTGCCCTTGCCCTCTGAGGGCCGCCATGTCTTCCAATTCCATCCCTGTGCTCACATCTAAGAATTCGATCTCTGCTTTGGAACCCCAGTCTTCTCCCAGGGAGCAACTTGCCTGCATTACCCAACTCTTCCTCCTCCTGGCTACGTTGGATAGTACAAGTGCTGGGGATCCCCAGAGGCCCCACCCAGTTATCTGCCTGCCCTCGCAGCTCTCAGTCCCCTCACAGGTGGGCGTGCAACACAGGCACACATTCTACACTGGGTTTATTAATGACTTTCTTACTTGATCACCACTCTGACTGCATGGTATCAATGCAAGTCATGTGGTTCTAGCCATCTAATACAACAGGACTAGTCACAGTTAAATATGGATTCGATATCATTGACATGTCACATTTGTCATTGAATGATCTTTATGTTCAGTGCAGCCGTTAGTACAAAATAGGTTGGCAAACAAATGTGGAATAAACTGATGAATAAATAGAGTCTCTAACTGGAATGGAGAAATAGATACTATAAGTATTTTTGTATAAATGATTAAATTATTTCACTAACTGGGCTTTTTTCTAATAGTATTCATTTATGTCTAATTTTTAATTTTAGAACAAAATATTCAAATGTCTGAATGTGACAGAATGTTCAATACAATTTTTCAGTTCTGTTTAAAAGTAAGATCAAGTGAAAAAGTCTCAATATCATGAAGTCATATCCACAGATATTTTTACAACAAAAGAATTTTAGGACCAAGGTGGTACGAGGAATCAGTAGGGGAAAAATAGGAGCGAAAACAATTGATTCCAGGGCAACTGAAATGACTTCCGTTATCAGGAAAAAGTGTATTTGGATCCCTACCTTACACCATACACAAAAATAAACCTAGATGGCTTAAAGATTAAAATGTGAACTAAAAAACTTTAAAACTCCAAATGGAAAATATAGGGGGCATTTCACTGACCTTGGGATAAGGTATTTCTTTAAGAGGATATATAATAATAACCCATAAAGATAGATTAGTCGATTTCACTTTATTTAAATTATATATAAATAACCATCATAAACAAAGATAGTAGATAAGACACAGTCTTGGAAATTAAGTTTATAATGCATAAAACCAGCCAATGATGAGCTGTCAGAATATACAATTTTTTTTGCAACTTGCTTTTTTTTTCAACTTTACATTTATATAAGTATTAAAAGCTACAAAGCCTTAATAAGCACTGTTATACATACATATATACTCAGTAAAAGTATATAACGATGTATGGAAAGAAACACATCAACCTCAAGAGAAAGAGGGAAGGAAATAGGGGGGTGGGCAGGGAGGGAGTTTCTAGCTGTACATATAATACTTTATTTCTTCATTAATAATATATAAAGCAAATGTGGCAAAACATTTATTACATCTTGTGTACAAAGAAGCCTTATAATCATTTCCACAGTTATTTCATTATGCATATTAAGTACTGTGTAGTGACATTTCTAATTTATTTATTTACTTTTTATTTCAATAGATTAGGGGGTATAAGTGGTTCCTGTTACATATATGAATTATATAATGCTGAAGTCAGGGCTTTTAGTGTACCTATCACCAGAATAGTGTACATTGTACTCAATAAGTAGATTTTTATCCCTCATCCCCCTTCTTAGCTTTCAATATCCATTATACCACTTTATGACCATATATACCCATAATTTAGCTCCTACTTGTAAGTGAGAACATGTGGTATTTCTTTTTCCATTCCTTAGATACTTCACTTAGGATAATGGTCTCCAATTCCATCCAAGTTGTGGCAAAAGTCATCATTTCATTCTTTTTTATGGTTGAGTAATACTCCATGGTGTGTGTGTGTGTGTGTGTGTGTGTGTGTGTGTG